TAATCACCAAACACTTTATATTTTGGGATCATGTAATGTAAACCATGTACTTGATGTAAACAATGCCAGTTATACTATGTAATGTTTGGTGATAAATGTGTTGTGTTTCATGTATATTCATTGTGATGATATTTCAATTTAACTCACGCGAGCCCTCGGACGTTTCCGCCGTCTGGTTCGGGGGTGTGACACCGAGTGATTACATTCTGTTGTCGGGTACCAAATAAACTGCTCACCGAAAAAGTCTCAAGAATCCATATCTGAATGTTAGCAAACAAAACAATAAAAAGTAGTTAGAATTTTAGCAAAAAAAAATAAATAATAAATTTTTCATTATATACTTACCTTAAAAGCGTATAAAAAACCCTATAGGGTGTAGGTCAATTTTTGAGGTTCATTCTCTTTTGGTTCTACTGGATGTATAAGCTTCTCGACCTTATTGAATATAGTATGTAGTTGTTTGTACAATTGATCTTAAATTATCCTCCCCCATAGATATTTGCCATATAAAAAATTAGTTAACAATTTAACTTCTAAAAAATATTAGTAACAATAGGTAGTTTAATTAATCAGTAATTATAAAATAGATGACATTATACTTGTTGAATTCATCAAGTTTGGATAGCAAAGCGAAATACTCTTCTGTAACAAGCTATTTCGCCAATCACCCATTGAAATCATTCTCTAACAGGTATAGAAGACATACACGAACTGCATCCTCGTTCGATAACTCATTAAGTGAATTTTTAAATACCTTCGTAACATGGTCTAATTTGACCGAGACATTAGTCGAGACCATAGGAATGACACGGGAACGGAAGGCGGTGACGGATGCAGAAGCAGGAAAATAGTTACCAAACTGGAAGTCGGTCATGAGACGAAATTCTTTCTTCCCGAAAGACAGCTCGTAACCCCCAATCCCAAAAATCATTTCCTCTACTTGGCTTCGGGGGTCGGTGACAACTTCGTGGGAAAAGACGGAATGTAGAAGCAAATGATCCTCATCTACATTAGGAATGCCTAACCACCTCCCGAAACCTGTATTCCGGAACATAGTCTCGCATTCGGGTTTGTTTCTGAATGTCGCAAGGATTTCCCCGCCGATTTTGGGTTTACACGAGAGTGTAATTGATGCATCAACAATCATGTCGTGCTGAAAAAATAAAAAAAGGTTTTAGCACTTCATTCTAAAATGGAAATGGCCAATATTTCAGACCTGTTCTTGATGTTCCGGACGCGTTCATCTTGTTACGGAATGGTTCTTCGCGTTCCGGAGCCTTCCGGAATGACATTTTAAGATTCGGAACACGACATTTTGATGTAAATCAACAATAACTACACATCTAAACTACTTTTCAGTTGGTCCTACAACAAGGACATCTTTAATTTAAACTTCGGAACGTTCTTAGTTCATTCCGAAGGTGGTCTACAAGAACCGGAATAGTAAGTAACAGTAGAAAATGAAGAACATACCCGTAAAATAACGGGGTCATAGTGCTTGTCTTCCATGTCGGAGATGGGCGTCGATGTGTGTCGGAGATGGGAGTTGCGTGTCGGAATCGAGTCGGAATGTCATAATCTAGTCGAAACATCGGAATCAAGTCGGAACGTCGGAATTAGAATGCTCCTTTCTGGAAGGAAGTTGTCGCCTCAAATTATATTCCGGATTTTGAAATTCAAAATCCTGATCCGAAACATATACGCTACCTCCAGAATAAGCATTCCGGAATATATGGTTATTTGCCAAAAAAAAAAGTTATATTAAAAAAAAATCCAATAAAAAAACCCCAAAAAAGGGGATAGATTACTCATTTCAAAATCTTAAATCTAAAATTTTACACCATCTAAGCCCCGGTTTCATAACCTCAAACGGTGGGGTATTGAGACTATCAAAAACTAGTAGCATGCCATTTTCAAAAGGGCATAATTTTATCATTTTAGCTCCATACCGCTTGATTGTTTGATTTACATTTCTTTTTTTCATTCCTGCTGCATATTGGAACTTTTATATCGCAATTATTGTTTATATAAATATGATTTCCATAACCATGAACATGAGTACTTATAAATTTATGAAACTTCTATGTTTCACTAACTTCTCTCTATACATGTACTTCTTGATTTCCATTATATGCATCCTATACTCCTAATCTTTAATTAAAAGTACATATACGCTTTCCAACATATAATTCGATAAAACAATCATTGAAATTCACTTTAATATATGTTCCTATTTGTCTACGTTCAAAAATATCCAAATCCTCATAATTAGTTTATTAGGTTTAAACACATTCTAATTACTTATTTTAACATCCCAAATATTCAAAATTTAAGGATGTTACAATATTTCCTTTACAACACTAATATATGTGGCTGACGTAATCATCTAGAAACGGCATGACAATGACATATGAAACAATGGTCTACCTTCATAAGAGGTTTAGCATTAAGAAACTAGTGTCATTGAAGCATTTCTTGGGCATCGAGGTAACACGAACTTCTATTATGCTAGTTCTAAGTCAACGAAAGTATTCCCTTGACATTCTACAAGATAGCGGGATGGAAGGTTGTAGATCTAGTTGTTTCCCAACGAGCAAAACTTGTAATCAGACCAGTGTGATGAGAAAAACCTTATTTGTATTGATGAAAACTTCATTACGATATTTCAAAATATTATACAGTACATCACTTAGCATTTAGCAACACATGGTACCGACATGATCGGAAAAGAAACATTATGGTACTAAAAGTATTTCATGTTTTTAATGTGAAGCATAACTAGTCTAATAACACTCATACAACTTTATATCCATTTGAACCCGAAAATAAGCTGCACCTTCAAAAGCATCAGTCCGAAAAGTACATATCCCACGTGTCATAAAGAAATCACCTGTGCCACCAACAACTGAAAGATCCCGTGTCTCCTCATCCATCATATCTGCACCCATAATATTAATTGTACCTTTATGCTCACTAGAATTGAAAATCAACGTGTATGAAAACCAAGCATTATATGTAGTCTTCATATCATAGAAGTAAAACCCTTGTGCTCGAGCCAAAGGGGGAGATAATAGGTGATTATCTTTGGTCATGGGATCATCAAAGATCACAAGCTTTCCATGCTTAAAATTTCCGAGCTTTGTGTCATTTGTAGTTGCGGCTGATGTGGCATTAGAGGCATTAGTGCCATTGAAAAGGATGTCGTGGTAGTACAGCACAAATCTCTTGCATGGTTTCTTCTCATTTATATTTTTCGAGTTAGCTAAAGTGGAGTAAGAGAGCAATATCAAGAACGATAAGAGTATGAAAAGGCTGTATTTATCAACTATTCGTGCCATTTCTAAATTGGGCTTGTGTGCCACACTGAATTGATTTGTATTGTATTTATAGTGCAAAATGCAAGCCTGTTTTAAATAGGTTTTGAGAATATACCACATTTTTATTAATATAAAAATATAGAAATAAAACAAAGAAAAGTACAACAGTTAACATAATGTGTTTGGTTATCGTATTATAGGAATAAAAAATCCATGATTGTTTTAAATACCTATCATAGTTACACGAAAAATGACATCTTAATATTTTGTAATAAAAATTACAATTAAAAAAGATATTATTCCTTCGAAACTTTGCTTAAAAACAAATGGTAGATTTAAATAATTGTAATTATAATTATCATATCAAACGATAATATGAGTATAAGAAGATAAAACACCGCTTATAATTGTCGTGCATAACAAAGCCTACCGTTGGAATATGGATTTTCCACATTCCAAAACTCAGCAACCATATTCTGTTATTCACACAACCCAAAATTTCTAGCAATTATTTTATAATAATAATAATAATAATAATAATAATAATAAATTACTGAAATCGTCCATGTGGTTTGGCAAAAATTACGTGTTTGATCCCTAACATTTTTTTTGCACTCGGACCATCTCTATGGTTTTATTTTGTTGCGTCTTTGGTCCTTGTCAAAGGTAAAAAGACCAACGTACCCTTTCTGATGTTTTTTAATCGTTTTTATAATTAATTTTACTTTTCTAAAAATATTAAAGGGTGGGCCAAAAATATTAATTAGGGTGGCCCCACCCCACACCCTTTACCATCTCCTCCCCGATTCCCTCTTCATATCTCTGTTTCTTTCAATCGTAGGAGCCTACGTCATTTACCGTCGCCATGTCGGAAGAAGCCATCGGTCACCACCACCATACTCGTCGGCGATATCTGTAACGAGTAAGCCACCGTCAAACGAACCCTACATCTATCGTAATCCTCTCTTTCTTTCCATGTATCATTCAAACCCTATTTCAATTGATGGATTTGGTTTGGGGGTTGTAGTTCATCGGATCCAAGTTTGAGAATTGAAGTTCATCAGTATAGTCATCGGAGCATGGTTAAGAAAGTCATCTCTTCCCCTCACCCACCCTCTCTCACTTGTTGAAAAAGCTAAATCGTCATTCTCCTTCCCCAATCCACACCTCTCTCAATTCCACTTGATCCTCATCGTCGACCAGCCACCATCGCACATCCATTACTACACCTCCACCATCGTTGCTTCTGTTTCTTCCTGCGACGGTAATTCTAAATGAAATCGCACTCTGTAACTTTAGGAGTTTTGTTATTAGAGATTTTATAATAACCCTTTTGTAATATTAGAACATATTCAAGATTTTCCTTTGAATTTTAGAGAATCAATGGGTGTTTTAGGTTTGATTTGTTTCAAAACAAGTTCATGTTCTTTAGGACTTCAATTTATGTGGGTCTACCAAAAATTTGGTTAAATTTGTCTTGAGTATGAAGGAGAAATTAAACTCTAAATAATTAATTTTTCTGGTCATTGAAGAGATTAAGCATCAGAGAGTATTTTTTTTCTGGCATGATTTTTGGGTTTAAGCAGATTTAATTTATGGGTTTAAGCACATCGATTTCATGATTTATGGGCATGATTTATGGGTTTAGTTTTTAGACCAGTAGAGTTGGAGGTGGAGGTGTTTGTGGTCGATGGCAGTGGTGACGATGATGACGGTGTTTGATTTCGTAGGTGGTGGTGTTTGACGTTGAAAGTGGTGGTGGGGTTTGATGACGGATGTGGTGGTGTTGTTGGGAAGAAGGGGATGAATGTGGGTGGTGGGACCATTATGAATTAATTAATAGTTTTTAAATAGATTAATAATAAACGAACAATAAATTAATTAAAAAAGAAATAAATAAGGGCAATGTAGTCTTTTCACCTCTGGTAGGGACTAAAGACGCAACAAAATAAAATTATAGGGATGGTCCGAGTGCAAAAAAAAATGTTAGGGACCAAACACGTAATTTTTGCCAAACCACAGTGATGATTTCAATAATTTTGAACTCAAAATATCATCATTTTAATTCACCATTATTAATTTTGAACTCAATTAAAAGATTAACAAACTGAATATTACCATTTTTAATTTTGAACTCAACTTAGGGTGGATAATTTGGGGCAATTCTCCTCTCTTAGTAATTATTGCTGGTTATTTGCTATCTTCTGATGGCGGTTTAGGAGTCTCGACTCTTAAAGCACAAAATCTGACACTTTTAATCAAATGGTGGTGGCGTTTGATAAATGAGAATAAAAGTCGTTGGAAGAGAGTTATTACAAGTCTACACAATTGATCAAGAAACCAGCTCATTACATTGCTAAGAAAACCTCCAACGGGCGGAGTATAACATTCATAAAGCAGTTAAAACCTTCGGTGATCTTTGTATAGATTTTCATCAAGTATTCAAGTTTATTCCAGTATCAAGCATTCAAATCTTGTTTTGGAAAGATGCACGGTGTGGTATGTCCCCGTTTCAAGAAAAGTTTCCCTATTTGTACAAGATCGAATCAGTCAAAAGTTGTACTCTTACTGATCGCTTAACAACGAATGGTTTTTCTTGGTATTGGAAAAGGCCTCCCTCCAACCCGAATGAGCTTCACGAACTGCAACAACTATACAAGGACATTGGTGATCTGAATGTTATTGGGGACTCTTCATCATATGGTTTTCGTTTTATGATGACAAAAAATGGTAATTATGTGGTGAATCGTATGGGGCGTATTATAGATTCGGAACTGATCCTATTTAAAGGGTTGCAGATTTGCTGGTCAAAACTAGTATCACTGAAAGTTTGATGTTTCGTGTGGCGTACCATGTTGGGGAAAATTCCACTAGCAGACAATCTAATTGCAAGAGGGCTACAGTTATCAAAGCAGATGTGCACATTGTGTAACAATGATCGCGAATCGGTGGAGTACCTTTTTCTTCATTGTGAATTCGCCAAGTATGTTCAATACTGGATCTTTAAATGGTGTGTGATTACTGATCGGGGGTTCACTAGTGTTATGGAATTTCTTAACACAAGTATTATCTGGGCAAAATGTCAAACGAAGAAAATAATAGGAGATGTTATATTATTTGGTGTATTATGGTATATGTCGATCTTCAGGAACAATAAGACCTTTATGAATATTCGAGTTGTTCTAGCAAAGGTCGCGGATGATATTATCTCTAACTCATACTCATTGTGAAAACATAGGAGTAGTATGAGTTGTGGGGGCTGGGCTAAGTGGAGCTGCTCGTCGTTTGCTCATCTATCCATTTCCTCCTAATTTTGTTATCTTTTTGTTTCTCATTCGTATTTGTTTTCTTCATATTTATTTTGTTCCTCCTGTCATGCTTTAGTTACTTGCTAATCTTGACCTTCTAATGATATTTTCCGTTTAAAAAAAATTATCTTCCAGGTTTTTCTTTTAAAATAAAATTATTCATCGTTCATATAAAAAAACTTATGTCTTTTATATATATATATATATATATATATATATATATATATATATATATATATATATATATATAT